GACAAATCTAATCTAGCCCGTTAATTGACCAGATTAGACGATCAAGGAGTTACTATAAATCTACTCCAACGACAAGTTACAAATTTAGAAAAGAAAGAAAATTTAGAAAGAATTTGTATCAGCAGTGATTGTTGAAAATTTGGCCGTGGATAGGAGTGAAAAATTTCCACGTATATCTGCGTGGCCGATTCATCGAGAAATATACGATCAGATGGAACAGTGGAAATGTAAAATCCATTTTCCTCGAATTGCATAAATTGAATCCTTTTTTCGCGCTACTGCAGTCAACATACGGTCTACGTTCCTCGTTACATCATCGCATTTCTCTCAGCTAGCTAATTGAAATAAAATTCAAACTCTGATCAAGCAGTGAAATAATGTCACATACTCTCGAAAAACATTGCTTTCGTTTAACAATCGCAATGTTAAAAAAGCAAAAAAAAAAAAATTATTTAACGAACATTTAATAAAAAAATATTATTATTATATATATATATAAATATTATTTTTATACCGTACCGACTAAAAAAAACAATTATTAATGAAACATTTTTTCGCGCTAGCACTGACTCTTAACAAATGAATTGCTTAAATTCGCAATGGACGTTGGATTATATGAGACAGTATTCGAAGCGGAACGCGCTGTTTTCAGGGAAAGCAAAGCCGTAACTGCACCGGCCTCGCGAGACGTTCCCCCTCGTATGGATCGAGAAATGGGATAGCGGGTTGGCGGTCGGTTGGGAGAAATTCGGCCACGAAACGAAGAATTTCGGGGCGGCTGGTCGTGGCCGGAATGCCAAGTTCGCGGGCTGACACAGATGCAAGGAACGGTAACTCGGTGTTGCGTGAATATTTTACCGTGAACTGTTAGCCGAATGAGTTTGCTGAGGCCGGGGCCGATGCCGTTGCTTGCCTGGCACAGATAGAAGCCGGCATGATCTCTGGATACCCGTGAGATCACCAAGGACCCGTTTCCAGCAACCCCAACTCCCTCGGTGCCGCTGTATCCCAGCTCTCTGTAGTCTCCTGGTGTATCGCCTGGATGTTTCGGGGCAAGCAACCATTATTCGTCCGAGGTAACTCTGTATTTCGATCGTTCGTCGTAATAAACGCAGAGTACAAGAGCAACAACTCCTTTGTTGGCTTTCTGCCCCAATTACAAAGGAAACGTAAACCATGATTTCTTTAGAACATTTCCATCTTCTTTATTTTAATTTCTAGAATCTCTCTTACGACTTACGAATCGAAAATAGTTTCCGAGCAAAGAACGCGGAGTGATTACTTGATCGATACTGTTTCGACTAGTCTCATCTGAGAATAGAGGACGTTGGTCTGCAAAAGTATAGACACGGTATAGTTATTTATAGCGTTTGTCCCGTGCAGTAGCAGACCATCCAGTAGTCTCTGTCAAGCATCTCCTAGCGATTGATAGGATTTTAATACACTAGCCAGATTAATTTTCACCGATATATTTTCACCAATATATGACATCTGTTTCTTCTTCAAGCACGATCATTAACTACGGATACTTGAAACATCATGTAAGCGAAACGAAACAACGTGTTATTGAGACGGATATTATCTCCAAATAATTCCACGTTATAATTTCTGAAATAATTCCTAATTCCGTTATGTTAATGTTATCAACTGTGCCAGGAATATAAATATATATATATATATATATTTCCATAAGCTCAGACACACATTATTCAAGAGCAATTGAAACTAAAACAATTCTGGCAGCAAACGCTGTTATGCTTTGAAACAATTTAGCCACGTTGTTTATGATTCAAATGTATGCAAATCAATATTTAAAATTCAAATTAACGTTTAAAATTCAAAATTAACCGTGTGATATAGAGAATTATTTGTCCTCGTTGCGGGGCACAGTTAGGCTTTGCCCGCGTTGCTCTTCAAATGGAAATAACAAACCGATCGGGATCATTCATCACTTTAATTTGACTCTGTTGATCAAAATTTAATTTATTAATTTATTACTTTACATTCGTTACCTCAAAGTTTGCTTTAAACTGTTCTGTTGAAAAACAGTTACCGTGCGGAAATTGTCTCAAAATCAGAGAGCGTATCCTGCCGTTCAAAGAAACGTGCAAAGTTTTTTTCTAAACTTTTTTTATAAACTTGACTTGACTCTGTTTCGTCTACGAAACATCCAGAGACTTTCGAAACGTCCCGACTTCCCTGTCAAACAATTTTCATCAAAAGACAAAAATTCGCTTCCCAGCGATCCAGCGAATCGGCCGTAATTCCCCGAGGAATTCCAGGCGCCTCGCGGGACCCGCGTTTATGACGTTACGGAATTTTTCAGCCAGGTATCAGAATATCCGTCGGAATTCGCGGTGCGTCGTCGCGCGCACTCCGCCATCGATAGAAGCGAGGGGCGAGCGTTAGCATTGCGGCGGATCAACGTCATCCGACATTCTTTCCGATACAATAAACATCGGGGAACGGGTGAATGTCCAAAGGAAGCCCGGCGTTGCGTGAAAAGATACAACGTACGTGAAAATACGGTTGAAAAGTACTTCTTCAGCTCTGACTTTCGACATCCACCATGTACAGACACCTCGTTCATGTTGATCTTTCGAACAAAAAAAAAATTGCTAGAGAAAAGAATCCGAGAGAAACAAACAAGATTGATAATTACAGCAAAAGACATCCCGCTTTACGTTGTTTGCCCGTCGTTGTTGCGTTAGCGTGTAATTTCGACGGTATCAAGTCGTTTTGATTAACATCTTCCTTGATTGGCTCAATTCTTCGGAAACGTATCCGTCGTGTAACGAGCGATTTAACTTCGCTCGAAATTGGAGCTAGAAGAGGAATCATAGTGGAGCACGGGGTAGATGGGCCGCGATCAAGGAAAAAGAGAGGAGGAATTTCATTGCCGGCTGGCAGCGGCGCGACTGCTGTAATGTTCACCGAGCAACGAACCGGTGAAACTAATTGTACTACCGCTTTCATTTCGCAGGGCGGAGGGCTTATTTCAGATTGAACGAGACGAGGAGTTGGAAACGGCCGATCAGCGAAATTTCTGATGGATATCTTCGTCAACCGCTGCCAGCCTCGGGTTAAATACACTCAGCAGCTGTAACTTGATGAGAACGACCGATCGATAGACGTCGCGTAAAAGTCAGCCAGAGTTATTAAACTCGTTCGTTGAGAAGAGGCAGACGGCACAAAGGGGAAGTGTATTCATCTCTCCAAGTTACGTTCCAAGGTCAGTGGTGGATACTTGTTAATAAATCTCTCGAGGCGAACAACGGCAGAATATTCGTCGGATAGAGGGCCGCCTCGGTGTTTGTAGATCGAACTTGCGAATCGATCCCCATCTGTTGGAATTTTAAATTTTTCCCACCACCACGTCGCGAGAATTCCACTTCGTCTCCGCGCGCGCACAAAGTCCCACATTTACATATTCTTCTGGAATATTTTTGGCCACCATCCGGCCTGAAATTGTATTGCCAATCTTCTCTTCCTAGAAACCTTCATCCCGACCGATGCGTATCATTAGAATTAAAATTCAAAAAAAAGCGTGATTAACCACCAACAAAAGTGCGCTCTAACTATGCAGATTAAAATTCACCTGTTATGATCGAGACGTAGCCTTTATATGGCGCGAATTCTTTATATACAAAACACGAGTCTCCTTTGACGCACTATCGGTAGGAAATTACTTCACGTCGGACTATAATCCCGCGTGATCTTCTTTTTTACGTCTAATTACTATACGAAACTTCACTTTTTTTTCGCCGATACAATTTCGATGTCTGCTACTGCCAAGGTTCACGAGAGGCGATAACCTGCCTGTTAATCAAATCAAAATTCTTTACGCGAGACCGTTTAGTCGAGAATAAAAAAAAAAAAA